AGCTGAATAATTTTTGGTTGATTGTAATCTATTACATACCTTTCTATCAAAATTATCTAACATTATCAAGATGAATTTGTTCTGACACAGTTTAACTCTGAGTTCTTGTTATATTTTATTACCATTTTCTAAACTATAGCGAATAAACTGTGATAATGTGAGAAATGTTGAAGGTGTCTGAATAAATTTTGGTTTGACTGTATCTATTTGATAAATGAAGTTAACCAACTAACATTATACATACCCTTTTGGTTTCTGTACCCAATATTGAAAAAATTTACAAATGCAATAAAAGTATCGGTATCGGCAAGTACCAAAAATAAAAGTATCGGGCGAGTACTGGAAAATGGTGGTATCGGTGCATCCCTAGTTTTTAGGTGTGTTTGACTCCGGCTGTAGCTGGATTTTAACGTTTGGTGAGACTTGCTGCTTGCAGTCAGAAGAGGAGTTGAAAATGGAGACATGAAGTCGTACACGTTCCGCTTCCCGTAGTGATGCTCTGGCAGTGTTTGCGTACTTTTAAAAAAAAAAAAAAATTTATGATCAACATTTTTATTCAGATTTAGTTTCACATCAGAAACATATATCACAATTCACAGTTCCAGAGAACTATGTACAAACAGATGCCATGAAGCTGTCCACTTGTACCAAAGGAGAGGAAGAAAAATAAAAGAAATAAAGTGTTTTCATGTAGCAACAAATACTATTCATTGAAAAATATAAGCACTGCTTAATACGGCACCTATATAAAGATGAATAAAATAACAGGCCAATACTATTAAAATAACATCAAAATGCCATATTATTTTAATTCTATTTTTACAATAGGGATACATGAAATTAGTTAGTACTATTATAAAAACACAGATTTGTGAGCATTACCGGAAATGAAGGTGTCAGAATGACATGAAACTTGATCGTTGTAATGATGAGTCTGGCCAATGGTATAACAGCTGTATTGTTATCAGAGCGTCCAACCACTCTGGAGAAGCTGCACAGATTGAGCCAGCCAGCTGGTCTCAAATCACTCTCACTGGACTTTGATGGCATATGTTTCAGTGACATAGCATCACCACCGTTTCATGTCGGACAAAATTTCTAACTGGCGTGCATTGCTTCAAGTCACACTGATCGGTCTGTGCAGCGCCGAATCAAGTCAAACACACCTATTGTCATTACAGGAGATTCTATAAAGATTTTCTGACTGAGTAACCGTAATCAAGTGTGGTGTAGCTTTACTGAATGGCTCAATTTAGACTTGTATATGTATGTGTGTGTATTTCTATATGAATTTATATTATGTATATTTTTGTATTTATTGTAACAGAAGAAAATTATCTTGTCACCTATGTAAATTAATAAAACTTATAATGTTTTTTACAGGTATAACATTGAGAGAATGCCAGACGATTATGGTGCACCACGGTTGTAGAACATAGATGTTTGTGTTTTTTTTTTTTTTTTGTTATAAGAATTTGTTTGGTGGAGATCCCCCACCTTCTACCTTTAAATGATTTCCCTTGTGAATATTGTTCAGAACTCAGTACAATAAAGTTTTTGGCAGCCCAGATTCTAGCAGCTCAGAGTACATTAGAGGAAATTAAAAGGAGGGGGAAATAGGAAGAAAATTATCTGCAACCAATGGAAACGACATGAGTCCAAATCTAGTGGCTATTGTGGGGAACTTCAGTGATCTAGGATCTCCTCTTATTGATATTAATGTGTTATTGATTTAAATTATTTGGTGTCTCCCAACAATAATATTGATTTAATCAAACACATTAAATTGGCCAAGTAGCCTTTAACTATTACAGTATGTTAACAGCTCAACAATGCAGTGTTAAAAAATAATGAACATTTCCCGTGAAGCCACTCCCTGGTACTCTTATATGTCCGTTTAGGATCTTAGGATTTATTTGCTGACCACATTCTTTTGTCTTTATCTTAATGACATCTCTGTCAGTTGTTTACACATCTGGTTGGATTCCATCTGCTTGGAGGCTGTCGTAAATAAAAATCACCATTGATAGACAAGTTATCAGTATCCTTGTTTATTTCAAATTATTGTTGTTTGTCAATTATTATTGTTAATTATTGTTAGCTTCATGTGGCTAAAACCATATTTACATTGTGCAGGCCTACACAGGATGATTTGAATGCAATTCATTTTAAAATGGGCTACTGTATTCTGACAATGTTCAGCTAGCTATATATATTATTTTTTTTACTATCTAGCTTTTGCTGTTCTGAGGAATGATTTATACCTGTCTTAAAATCACTACACTGCCGTATGTGTAAAATTATCACAAATCAGTGAGCATTGACTGTAAAAAAAATTCCGTAAAATTTACGGTAAAAAACTGGCAGCTGTGGTTGCCGGAATTTTACCGTAAAAAATACGGTAGCAACATTTTACGGATTTAACTTAAATTTACAGTTAAATACCGTATTTTCATTAACTGATATAATGTTAATATACCAACCTATTGAAGTACTGAAATCTGTTTTGCACCTTTGTAATACACTGATAACCACCAAATGCAGGTGGTGATGAGAAAGTCACATGATGAACCAAAGCCCATCACAAGCAGCTTTTAAATAATAACATATATAGAAGGTGCACAGTGTCATTCACACAGACACTATAAACACCATCATGGTAACGCACATGAAACTGAAATAATGCAATAAACATTCATTTAACAACATTAGGTATAACACACAACCCTAATATACAAAACTGATAAGAAAAAACTAAGAAGAAACATAGTTATTTCAACAAAAAACATCAAATTTGAAATGTAACGCAGGGAATTCTGGGAATGTAAATTTATGGTTATTCACTGTAAATTATACGGTCTTTTCACTTCCAAAAACGGTATACTACCGGAAAATTAATGTCCAATACATGTAATGTCCAATACAGTTTTTCACCGTATATAGTAGGGGAATTTACCATTAACCATTTAACAGGTTTTTACTGTAGCATTTTTACAGTCTTTTACTGTTAAATTCATGGTCATGTTTTACAGTGTTGTTATAAATACTTGTAAGAACTGAGCATGTAGTGTTAAGTGATGTCAAGAAGTGCGACGAATGGGACTGGTTCTCAATCATGATCATGGCAGTCACACAAAAAAAATGTCACATTTCTCATGTTTCAGGGTTGTTGCAGGTCTTAATTCACCCTTTCGTAAATTCTGACCTTAAAAGGTATTAAATTGGAGCAGAAAGTTTTAAGTCATGGAATTAAATTGCATGAGGGATTGTTTTCTTGTTGCGTTTCATTTTTAAATGAAGAGAAGGCGTAATATCTCTGTGGCTTAGTGGCTGTATGTGCTGATTTGTCTGTCAGTAACCTGTAGATTAGAAGAACCTGATCAACGTGCAGATGCACATTTTCTGAATCTTGCCGTTTAGAGAAGTAGTTAGATTGGGGAAATATTTGTTCCAGCCTAAATGTCTTCAAAAGAAAAAAACAAATTGAGTGAGTTTGTTGATTTTGACTATAGTTTGTGGTCACTTCCATTATTAATGACAACAAATAGTTTGTAAGAACTGCTGTTTCAATTTCATATTTGTATAAGAATACTTGCATTTGCAGTGCTCGTTTTATCAGTTTGGTTAATGTTTAGTAAATGGTTTGCCACCTGAAAAAAAAATGATGTAGGATTTACTTAGAAACAATTTTTTGCATTTTTAAAATAATTATAAAGGAATGATAGAATTAAACATCAAATGTTGAAAGATTACAATAGTTTTTCTTTTAAACTGCATGTATTTCATTCCATAGCTCAAGTGAAACGGCAGTGTCATAAAGTTTAATAGCTTATGGGTCTAATCAGAAAGTACAGAAGTTAGTGGTTAGGACAAAGAAACCATCTTTTTTGTAAAATTATTTAAAAAGCAATGGCGATTTGTTGAAAGTTGTTTTTCATCATGCTCCCTATAGGCAAAATGTTGATGTATTGTGTTCACTTCAATTTATTCTATAAAGTTTCTTTACTTGGTCTTAAAAAAGGACTTTGTACACTGCCTCTTTTAATTGGAGAATGTAAAAGGAAGCAGAACAATAAATTGACAAAGTAATACAAAATCTAGACCAAAGGCTTCAAATAAACTGCAGTGTTGAAAATACGGTAGCATAAAATAGCATTTTTGAGAATATGTCTGCATGTTGCCATTGTCATTTCCTACAGTCTCAGTTTGTTATTTATGTGACATACTTCTCTCCATCTGGCATTGAAAATATCTAATTACCTTTGCATCAGGCATGAAACGGCACAATCCAAACCAAGGTCTTTTGGATTTGCTGCAGATGGAAAGATTGAGAGATAGTGAAGGCAAAGCAAACATTCAACCTTGACACTTGATACGGTGTGATTATAGAAGAGATTAAGGACAGCATTAATTACAGTTTAATTTATGTGTTAGTAAATCATGTAACAATCTGAATGTTTGAATTAAAAAAAAAACAGCAAACAAACAAATGTGTTCTGTACAAGATGTGTTTTTTCAATCAACAATGTAAACGATACAAGTCAGAGATCTCAAAGATAAAATACTGTTAATTGAAACTACAGTACATATTCAGTTCTTTTCTTCATTTACCTAATGGATTACAAGGTCAGCAAGGGAACGGTCACACACTTGGTCACGCACACACACACACAAACGGGGCAGACGTAAGCAAGGTATAAAAGCTATGCCTGTTTCTGAGAAAAGAGATTAATCACATCTTGCAGGAAGTCAAGAACAAAGGTAATTTTTCAAATGAAATATTTGTGAGCTTAAAGAATACATTTAAAATGTACAAATGTAGCAAATTCTGAGAAGAATGATCCGTGTATGTATTTGATGTATTTTGAAAATATGAGTCCAGTTCTGTAAAGTATGTTCTATTTTAGTGTTGTTTTTTTTTCCTTTTTCTCTTCTATTATAGCCACCATGTTTTGGAGAAGATATGCTGGAGCAAGTATATTATTGTTTTTAATGCTTATTCATCTTGGACAACTGTATCCAAGAAATGATATGAATAACTGTAAGTTAATAACCAATTACTAAATTTTGATACTTCATATGGGATCTTTTCCTTTACTATTATTTTTTATTTTATATAAGTTGGATGTGAGGAGTGCAAACTCAAAGAGAACAACATTTTCTCAAAACCTGGAGCTCCTGTCTATCAGTGTATGGGATGCTGCTTTTCTAGGGCTTACCCCACGCCCCTGAGGTCTAAGAAAACCATGCTTGTTCCAAAAAATATCACATCAGAAGCTACATGCTGTGTAGCCAAAGAAGTTAAACGGGTAAAATGTGCACTGCTATTGCTATAATATTGCGTTTCATTATATTATTATTTTACTCAAATGTATATAGGCCTAACAAAATTGTTTTTGTATTTGTTTGTAGGTGCTTGTCAATGATGTCAAACTAGTGAACCACACAGACTGTCACTGCAGCACCTGTTACTATCATAAGTCTTAAAAAATATTGTGACATTCAAGATTTGCTTGTGTTTGCCTAAAACTAGTTATATTCCCGTCTACCTGTAATTTTATGCCAATTTATAAGAATTATAAGAACATTTCTTCTATAATTGTCAAGGCTGGGTGGTTTTTCCACCACTTCTTTTCCAAAAGGTTGCCATCATTATTGTAACCAACATCTAAAGAGCACAGAATGTGATATTTTATCATTAATAAAAATCAAAGAAAAAATCATCACTGCACTCTGCTTGATGTTAGTTTAAGCCCTCTTTTATTGGTAATTGCTCACTTATTTTGTCATCTTGCTGTTGTAAGATCAAATCCATAACTTAAATAAAAAATATGATTGCTTGTGACATAGCTTTTGTGTTTCTTTTTTTCTCCATTGTTATACCTGCTTTATCCTTTGCATGGATTGAGCGTGACTGAAATTCCCGCACACTTACAAATAAAGGTTTAAAAGTGGGTTTTCATTGAAGCCATAGAAGAACCATTTTGGAAGTAGAATTTTCAGTAAATACTTATAAGAACCTTTTTTTTCCCTCAGTGTGAAGAACATTTTAATCAAAAATACTTCAGCCTGATGCCATACTGGAACAAACTCCCACACATGCTGAGAGAAACTCAGCAAATGCAAACCTGGTTTGTGATGTGTGTGTGTGTGTGTGCAGGACAGTGCACAGACATTTTGACGGGCAGTGGCCCAAACCAAAAAAGGGGCACTAGGTGGGTGGGTGCTTGTTAATACAAATGATCCAGTTGTTACAAATATACAATTAAAAGAGAAGACAGCACACTCTGTAGTAATTTCAGACTTTATTGTAGATGTTTTGATAAGAATGGGCTCTCCCTCACTCTCTGAGCCTGCTTCTGCCTCATCTTCAATGGAAGTAGGGGAGAGTGGGGTAAGTTGAGCCAGTGGGTAAGAGGACCCACCCCCCGTTTCTTGGCAACTGTACACTTTTACTGTCATGTGACCA